TGTTACATGTCCATAAAGCAGCAAAAACATGAACTAGGAGATGAATTGCACTGCATGTGATGGTAAACTTTTCTCTTGGTATACGAATGGTTTAATTTGGTTAGGTTTATGAGGAGTTTCTCTGCAAGTTTTATAAAGTTCCCCATGCTAATCTGTATTAGATGATACAGTTAATGGACCCTTTGAATGAACCATGTTGATCCATTAAGTGGGGACCTATTTCCATCCAGACCGTAACGTGGTAAAACAAGCACACTGTTTGGCTTTAATGTAAACTGTGGTTTACTGATGCAAACTAAGAGCATCTATTGTGATTCCTGTTCTAATTCCTTCCCCTTAATGGTAATCCTCTTTCTATTTTAACCAAAAGTCAAACATTACCGCATATGTAAAGTGCATATGCATTGTCCTATGCAAAGTTTGACTTTGGTCCAAGTCTTGTGGGTTTGTTAACTACTTATTTAATCTATTATTACTGTGTCAGTAACTAATTTCACAGCAAATATCCCTTCATGTACTCGCCTTTTTTTATATTTATTTCGTTACCAGGAGCTTCGTTTGAATGAATCACAAATGAGTTTGTGTCTTTGAACACCCTGCGTCAATTCCTCATTCAAATGGTTTTGTTATTCACATGTGAATGGAGTCATTTGCATCTGCATTTGCCTTAATTTTACCAGGAGGGAATCTTAGGGCTGATACCCAACCTTTACCTCAGATTTCTGACAAAAGGAGCAGCATTTTGTTTGTTTTAGATGAAAAAAACCCCACATAATATCACTATCAGTTATAATATCTTTATTTATCTGGCAAAAGTTCAAGGTTATCTTTTACAATATCACTATTACCAAAGCAGGTGATTAAATATATCAGATGAGTCACAAATAAACAAATTTTAGCAGATGACTATGTTAACGTATGAATTCAAATAAATGATTAAAGAAAAAGAGACATTATGGATTATTGCAATTTTTATAAATAGATGTTATAGGAAGTGGAGGATGGGCACATCACATAAAATCCTCCATTATGTCATGAAATAGTTAATATTCAGGAGTTCAACCTTAATGAAAACCAGATAATACTGTTACATCATGTTTTTATCACTAATTTCAGTTCATGTAGGTTATTTAAATACGCTTAAATTAAGGCATCAGTTCTCTGAGTTTAAACCAGCTGTTTGCCTCAGTCGTCATCCTGAAAACGGTGTTCCGCCTTAAAACTGAACAGAAATCAGGTCAGAGAAAGGGCTCATAAACTCAAAGCATTTTTTCAGCATCAGTGGTCACCTTGATGGCAGATGAAGGGA